CGATAGTATTAAAAATATTTTATTTTATAATACGATCGCTTTCAAGGCGGATCGAGCATGATCTGAAGCGTTGTTGAACGTGTATATAATAAATTCTATGCGATATGTTACCTCTCAGTTGGATAATCGTGTCGAGGCGAGGTCAGATGTCGCCAAGTGCCTCAGCGAGTTTCGAAGAGTGAGATAACCCTCTGGAACGATGATTAGCTGCGAAATATGCAGAGAAGCTGATGAATAAGCAGTCGCTGACAACGAGACGACAATGCTACGAGGAGGCGGAGAGCCAATTACTGGCTGGCAAAGTTAACCCTGGGAAACACAAAAAAAACCGATGACAGCGCGGAAACAGTGAATGCCGGCGGCCATCGAATAAGCATATTGTCAGTCCCAAGCCAGCCGTGCATATGATGAGTCAACGTAACTCTAGAAAGAATGCTATGGTGTTTCTACACAGGCGACGTGCAGCAGTGGATCCTGGCGGCTGTGAGAAATGAGCAGGAAAATCAGTCTAAGCATTGACGGCAGTTACGAAGGGAGAAATTGCCATGTCGAAGACGGACCAAGAAAATGTGCATAGCAACTTGGAACGTTGGAAAAAAAAGCGGAAAAGAACATGGAGCTAGCGAAAAATCTACAGAGAAGATATGATTAGATTGCTTGCATTCACGACACGAAATGGAAAGGTGAAACGTCTAAAGTGATCGGATTAGGCTGTAAACTAATTTACTGTTGAGCATCAAGCAGATGAAATGGGGCTGGGGTCATACTGAATGAGTCAAACAAAGGAAAGGTATTCAAAGTCAGCCGAATTGACGACAGAGTCACGGGCATCAAGCTGTTATTGGAAAGTGATATCCTAAATATCAATAGTATCCAGGCCCCTCAGACTGGCCGAAATGAAGCCAAGAAATCAAAATTCTGGGACAGGTAGACTTTACATGCAAAACATACGGTGAAACGAAAAAGTGCTAATTGGGTGGCTTCAGCGGTTAACATCGAATAGGTTACGGCAAGATCTATGATGAACACGAATTTGATTTATTAAATAAAGTAGGAGAGAGCATCTCGCAGATGGCAGTTGTATATGACATGGCTTTGACAAACTCGTTGTTTCAGAAAAACCAAAGTTAACCCGGAGAATCCGTCAAAGCCAGTACCAGTTGCTAGTTCTAGATCGCGATCTGAAACACTATGGTCTGCGACGGTGGCTGCGAGCACGCACCCAAAGACAAAATGAAGAAGGGGAGAAGCATTCGATGGGGCAGTTATTACGAAAAACATATTTACGAATAAAGATATGATCAAGAGAGTGGATCAAGTATGGGATTGGATGACAAGTGCAATCATCGAGAATGCCCCATGTCTACTGGCCGAAAAAAAGATACAGCCCTTATCCAGAAAGAGGCCTGACATTGGAATGCGGAAGTGCGGATACCGTACGACAAAAGAAAGCGCTGTTCAAGAAATGGCGGCTGTCGAGCAGCGCTGAAGGCAAAGTTAAAACATGCCATAACAATGAGGGAAGGAAAGTCAAAAGCGTGCGACTGCCCATGTGAAAACTGGTAAAGAAGGAATGTAAAATAAATTAATAAATAAATAAATACATAGATGTAGCAATGTAAAGGCCAGAGAAAGAAGAACATGCTCATGAGTTGAACATGAAAGATGAAGACAGCGTGTTTTCTGATGACATCATGGTCACAACGGATGAGAGTACACATCAAGACCCTACTGACAGAAAGAGATTTCAGAGGTCTCGGAAGTCATTCCATGTAACTAGTAATTAGTCGAAAGGAGTTCTGTCGAAGAAGTTGAGTAAGCCTTGGTCCGACTGAAAAAGGAACTAAAACTGCGTCTTTTAGTTCGGACGCAGTTCCCACGGAAGCATGGAAGGCGTGGTTTGACTGCACACTGTGAGAAAGTGCTAGAATCATGGAGGACAAGTGTTTTGACATCAGTGCCAGTGAAAAAACGAAACGGGATATGTTCGCCGTTGAAACCTATCAGGGAATTGGGCTGCTCAGCCACACCAGGAAGCTGCACGAAATGGTGCTGCACAAAAGTCTGGGGCTGGAGGTCGATGTCATCGCGAATCAATCTGCCTGGCTTTTTGTCAGGCCGCTCAACTACTGACGCCATTTTTACTTCAGTATCAGTTTTAGAAACGTACAGAAAATACAGCGTGAGCATTCATGTTCAGAACGGTTCTTATGGAACACAGCGGTAAACAAACTGATGAGGCATGAGGAAGTAGTTGCGGCCAGAAACCTATGTCAGATCAGACATGGAGGAGGCAGCCCCCATACTGCATGCTCTATGGAGATAGCATTTAGCTGAACTGCGAAAGCAGCGAATGATTAGGTGCGAAACCTGAGGCTTGCAATGCAGTCTTTAAAACGATCAGCCCTCGGCTCAGCATAGTCAAGCCAGAATATACGGAGGGTTATTTCAGTGGGGGAAAAGAAGCAAAAGCCAACAAATCAAATGAAATAGCTGAGGGCATGCTGCCTCAACCCAAAACATTTCAGTGTCTTGGTTCCGTCCTACAAGACGATGGGGAAGTCGACGGTGAATTTTATAATAGCAGTCGAAAACAAATGTTTGGCTCAAATGAACAGAGGTAACGATGTGCTGTGCGATAAGAAAATTCCCATCAAACTGAAGGGACAGATGTACCGAATGATAGTAATGCCGGTGCTTCTGTACGGAGCGAAATGTCTAGCTACCTTGAAGAGACCCGTGCAATATCTAAAATCCGTGGAAATACGAATGCTCAAATGGATGTGTACGGTCAGTAAAAAGATACGATCCGGGGGCACTTTCATAAAAAGCTTATTATGCATCGCACCAATTTCAGAATAACTGATCGGAAGTAGGCTTTGTTGAGTCCGCCTGGTGAAAGAAAGACCTATCGAGTTTTTCATAAACGCGGCTCAAGTTCAAGTTTATGCCAGGAACGAAAAGAAGGTAGCGAAATGTCGAATAGAACGATGTGAAACTCCGAGAAGTGATCGAAGGTTTGTTTGACAAAAGGCCGAAACAATGTGGAGGCAGTTGACTCCAACAGCAAACTTCTGTTAAACAGAACACCGGAGAAGAAAGCAGAAGAACGTATGCTGCATCGCCCCACAAGGAACCTGTCGAATTTGAAAGAATGAAAACAGTCAGAAATGTAAACAAGATTTTTCATCGGTCAAAATCCTGTATTTCATTATCTTCGTCATCACTTAGGAGCAAATTTCTACTTCGCATTCATTCATCACCATTCCGCACAAATGCATTCACTAAAATGGTTCCTCCTCGTAATACCATTGATTGAAATATGCACCCTGTGGTAATGAGATATACTAAACCGAGTATCAAAAACTTTTACGTGCGTATTATACTTATTGAGATAATTACCTTTAGTCATTTGCGTACGCAAAACATATCTGATTTGCGATGTCCGCTGTATTGACAGGTTTTCAACGCTTTTCTATAACGCGCAAATTGCTGCATGGTACACTTAAATATTTCTTTCAGAAAGCAGATGAGTCTTTGTTTCGGTCCTCCATGCTCATTGCTGTCCTATCGGCGGACATATGCCCTTGTCCAAACTACACGTAAGCAAAGCACGAGTTTGAGTTAATTGTTTACGTAAACAAGCGCACCCCTCTTCAGCCAGCCAATGGGACATGATCTGGCGAATCCGGTACCTTGATTTCGTGAGATTCTGTTGCCGTATTGAATTCTTACCATGGATCGTGGATGTTATAACATTCTACACTAACAATAGTAGTACTTTCATTGCTTTGGATGTATAATTCCGTTCAATGACAACAGTATATTAAGGTTTTCTCTTTGTTTCACGCTTATAAGAATGCGAAAATGTGACTGGAACATCTCGAATTAAATTAATTTAGTTTTTAAATTGTACGAGGGGTTTATTTCAATGATGTTCATTTCCTGCTGTAGGTGTGCTGCAGCACACTGCGAAAGAGGTCGGTTTCGAACTCCAGAGATGGGTTTGATTTTGGCGCAGGGCAGTGCTGTATTACTCACAAATCTGCTTGAGCAAGGAATTCACCAACATTGCTTTAAACGGGGCTGCTCACTAGGTAAAGTGTCAGATTCAGAACCGCGGGATTGGTCTGAGTAACTCGCCTTTTTTGCTTGCGAAGTTAATAAACGAGTACCACTTGTTGAAAGAGGCTAGAATTCACACATTATGCGTGCAACATTGTTTTGCCTACCCTGCATTTATAATAGAGCAATCGAAGCTGATGGCATGGCATTGAAGATCAGCGCTCCACAATTAATTTTATGGAAAGAAGGGAGTCAGGGGGCACAGGCATGAAAGTGTATGGAAGTCAGACATTTCAGCGGTTACAAACTTTCCCTTCTTCCTTTCTTTTCATATCATAGATTTGAAAACCAGCCAAATGAAGTTTATTGCTATAGTAGAAAAGCGTATCTGCTTTCCGGATAATACGGAAGCAACAATAATATGCACAGAAGAAACATACATATTTGCTGAACTCAGCAGGAAGTTGCTCTGCTAATCATATAAATGATAAACATTGGTCTCCAACTTGTCGTTAGAATGACAGTAACAGTCGTAAATTAAATTTACATGATTACTACCGAATATTCTTTTCAGCGTTAACATAGAAACACTTCCACATCCCCATTGGAGGTTATTGAAAGTTAACTGAAGAGGTAGTAAGCTCCCTGATACATCATTGCACCGATGGATTGAAATGATGCTTCTGTGACTTAACTTGCTTGCTAACCTCAGTCATGTTTTACCATCCAGGTTTTCAGTGGCGTCTATCGACAGCATCGCTAACCAGGTCAGTGCACATGCCATTCATATATTGCATGGAGACTTTTAGGAGATCGATCGATGTGTTTAACCTCAGACTGTTTATTGGTTGAAGGAGATAAAAACGGGATTTGTGGAAGAAACTGTGGTTAATATGAAAACGATTATCTTTTACTTTATAACTCTGCTTCTTCCAGAGATATACCGATTTGCGAAGTGTAGAAAATCGTCCTCTTTTGTTGAACTGAATATACCTTAGGTGCTTAGAGAAAATCGTGTCAGTTTTCCTTTTAGATGTGTCATCATTTCGTCGATCATAAGGCATACCATCAGTTTAAGTTTTCTATGATTTTGGGAGTACTTTTCTCAACAGAAGTTGAATAAATACCAAGAATGAAAGCGAATAGAAATATTTGCAATGTCTTCTACAGTGCAACAAATAGCATACGAGTTTGTCCACTCGTTTACCTCAGATGGTGGTCATCGTTGATTTTCCTGGTAATGCGAAGTGACAGTGACCATGGAGAGGGGGGCAACTGAAAATTTTTCGAAGATACGTTCGACGTTCACTTCATCGAGTTGCTCGGCCTGCAGATAAAAACTAGTCGTTGAACTTAAATACAACATACTGCTGTATGCACGATTGGCAAAAAAGCCATAGAACAGCTGAATGCGTAGCTTTTGGCGATTGCCATTATACGGAATCTTTGATCATGTACACACTTTCTCGTTCTCCTGTCTATAATGCAGCTTCATAATCATCATCATAACCTTCTTCCTCTTCTTTTTCGTCTTCTTCTGCTTTCATTGTAAGGAATACACCGGATGCCGTAAAATTATTCCCCCTGGATCGAATAGCTACATGCTCTTTCTTCAGTCATTTTTCAGTTCTACGTAGCTTGCCATCATGATGCAGGGTTTTCTTGCTGTCATGTGCTATCAGGTTCTGCGTTGAGGTTCATTCGTTAGCAGTGGCCCTCTCATTTCAGACATTTTTTTTGTAACAAATCAGTCATTTTTGGTTCGATATTCTAATCTTTCTTTTATGACAGCATTTTGAATTAATGACTTTCCTATTATTAATCTCTATATCTTCATTTCAGTCGTTGACCATTTTTGTTTTCAGTTTTGCAAAGTGTTGCCGCATCCGGGACGTAAAGCAAGATGTTCAAAAAGCAAGCTCTGAATATCCGCAGCTTTATCCTCTTGCCAGCGCCATTCTCTCTCCAGAGCTTGAATAACTTTTTGCTGGTTGCTTATACCAACGCACAGCACCACTTCGTTTGTCGCTTGTCTCTCTGCAGTCAATGCGTTCCAAAGATGCAGATGTTCTGATATCTTTCCCACAGTGTCAGTGTCAGGATGAAACAGGCATTGATCTGGATTCAATTTTTATCCGTGTCGTCTCATTACAGCGAATCGAGAGGTTCACATCAGAACATCTCTTTTTCATAGTTACGAATGCTGATAGAGCAGCTTCTGCTAACTATATGATATAACCCATAAATGCAGGAGAGTTTGCGCAGATTGTATCGATTCTTGCCGCAGTGGTATATTCCCTCCTTGGTGTTGATTGGAGCACCCAGTCAAATAACATCACAGGCGGCAGAGAAAATTCCATTTTTTCTCTCCTTAGCATTATCATTTTACAATAGTATTTGACGAAGGTGTCATCAGTTGACACCGAACTCATCGAGTGATCATAAATCTTATTAATTATAAAAGTTTTCTAAGGCTCGTATCGATATAGCGCCTGCGATGACTTGAAGGTGATAGATTTTATGATTCCGTGGTTGGAAGCTTTAAATACAAAAATCTACTATTTGCAGTTATTTTAGTTTCTCGGCCAAATTGGTATCGGTCATCATCAGGGAATGAACCTCTGAGCCAATAGGTGCTTGACCCGGTTAAAGAGACGCTAATTAAGCAGCCAATCATGCTCCGCGACACGAAGATGTTAGTCGAGCCGACGTAACCCCTAGAAGTTCTAATTTTGATGGCTGTGATGTGAAGCGACCCCTTCATTAACAGCTTCATTTTGTCACGGCGTCAATCATCTGTTGTTAAAGTCTTCATCATTCTGCAAGGAACAAACGGTAACAAAGCCATAGTGATCAACACGACGTTAACCTGATGGCCTCAATTAATCCAGTTTTTAGCACTCAACAAGTCAAACCGATATAAATTCGATCACAGATATTGCATGCAATTTCGTCTAGATGGCGTATAATTTCCTCGGATGGGCCTAGTACGACGTAACTTGTCGAAATAGAGAAATTACGATTGAAAGAGGGAGAGGCACGAAACTTGGGGCGTTTAAATACCGACT